TTAGTGCCGAACGAGATCGTGAACTTTCCATCAACTGTGATCAGTTATTAATCACTGACAACAAAAAAGGACGGACATCAACCACCACAATAATAGAAAGGATAAATGCAGAATTCAACTGAAGCATGCATGTCTTGGCATTGACCAACCTTAGACAGTATCCACGGAGAGCGGCAACAATGGGATTTTCAGATCCAGCGATGTTGTGCGATGCGGATGCATGGTCAATGACTCGATTCACCGAAACCAAACACCTTCGCATATGCGATTTCGACCAGTCGGTCGTCCAGAATATCTGAACAGATCAATCCATGAAACATTTGCCATTGCCATTATATGTCCATACTGAAACTACTTATTAACGATACGCGTGAGAAACATTTCCAATGACCATTCCATTGAATATTCTCAAATGAGCTGATTCACGGAGGTTGGACGCAATTCGCATATCGTATCCATTTTACTTTTAAATCCTCTCATCTTTACATTTACTTGGATATAACCAAATACGCCGCCAAAACTTTAGGATTTGAAGCAAATAACTCTACCCAATTGTGACTCATTCAAAATCGCAACAACAACCTCAAGCGAATACAATAAAAAGAACACACCTCGGTGACGCCAGCCCGTTCTCGAAGTTCCGCTATTTCCTCCTTAAGCAGTTCGGAAGTCTTTCTGAAAATACAACATTCAATTTTTTGAACTGAACAAAAACTAAAATGGAAGAAGTTAAAAGGAAATCGCAAAAGAATGAAACGTGATTGCACCCACACAAACAGTAAAGATAAGCATCAGCTTATTTATCAGTTCTGTTTTTAACCCAAATTTTTCGATCATCTCTCCTTCTTGTTCGAGTTTTTTCAGTTCCTGACCAAATCTGTTGAATTTCAGTCGACAATTTGGTTGGTCATTACCGCAAAAGAACACCAAAAAAAACAAACTCGAACGCTCTAACAGCCTCGCTGGCAGCATCTTTATGTTTCTTCAAAGCGGCCGTAAGATCGTTTCTTCGGAAGTATTTCGAACGTTTTTTGCGAAATAATCGCATCATCTCTTCGGCGGCATCCATTTCACTCGAGTCGAATGAATTACGCGGTTTACCGCTTCTGACTGAATCTGACAATGTCGTTGGCACATTTTTCGTCGGCAGATTACACTGCGTCAACGCAGTTCTGCAATGTTCAATTCAATCAGAACACATTACTTTTAGACAATAACTTATCAGACCGAATGTACTCATTAAATGCCTTCAACATCGACCATTTAAATAACCTAATCGTCGGAGAAAAGATGGATGTCATTCGGAAGCAAACAATAAATGATATCAACGCACACAACAATAGAACGCGCATCTGTTCCGGACAATGAGATTTGCACTTTTCGAAGATTTTTAACGTTCTTTTCGGCCAGATAAAACTCCACCTTGACCGGATCCGGTACTCTTCTCAACGGAAATAAATCATTCAAGTAGCCATTGAATGTCTGCAAATGCGAAATGATTAACTGCCAGAGTGAGATAGACATCAAAACTTCTCATAGACTGTTGAGTGATAATTTCACAATTCAAATAAATCCAATCAAAACAATGAAGAATGCGAACCGAAAATCGCAACCTTATGTGAACTGCAAAACATCGAATGTGCACTCCCTTCTACATGACCGTGTAACTCATACTCATATTCATAAATCATTTGGAAAATTGGTAACCATACTAAAGGCTTAATGACCATAATGCAGAGATGCACCTCATTTCATGAACGAATTCCATTCCACAACAAATAACGTAGCTAAAACAATCAAACTCATATCAAAAGAAAAACAGAAAATGACGACCTTAAGTGACTGTTCATTGTGTGATTTGATGTCGGGTTTATTCGCGAAACGATCCGGATGAACAACGAAATAAAACGGTCGTAACGCGACTGCTGCTTGTTGCGA